ACAAGTTCACGTGACTTTGAACTCCTCATTTTCAGACTTCCAGAACTATATCATAATCCTTGCTCGAAAAGAAGATACAAAATGCAGCTGGTTAAGATATGCAACATAAATTGATGATGTGGGTTTTTCCAGGATAAATAAATAGGACATTGTCATATTTCAGAGCATAATCAATCTGACAATGAAAAGAGTACATTTGGTCCGTACCATTCAAAAGGAGAAGAAGCACAGAGAGAGATAAAAAGGATAACAAACCTGGAAAAATATATCTGTTGGAATTCTAAGAAGTTTCACAGTCCTATATGCAATTTTGTCCAAAAATGTCGTGGGAACATGGTGCTTGTGCAGATCTATAGACAAGTCTGCCCGGTAAGTTTCCCAAGGCTGCAAACATAAAAAATGAAACAAACTCAAAACTCATACTTCCAAAGCCCAAATAAGCATTGATCGCATGTCATCTTTGTGAACATTTCAGGTGGAAAAACATGCTTGTGAGTCAAAAAAAACAGTTCTACACCAAGTAGTTGGGACAAATCAGTGTGCAAAAATATTAAGCCAGAAAATAAAAACCAACAAAAATTTCTGCACCTAGGATTGATTCGCAGCCAAGCTGCCAAGGTGAAACCCAAACCAATGGGGAGTAGTAATTTTGTACAGGACATTCAGACTCGTCTTGGGCTTGTCTTCACATATCTCATAATTGGATAACCCAAGCCATGACTCTCAATATAAAATTGGAAGCAAATTTCTTGCAAATGTGTTTCATCGGATGCCCTATTCAAACTGAAAGATCTAAAATGGCATGATAGTTGATTCAAAATTATAGCAAGTTTAGGCCAGAATCAGAAATTATATTAATCCATTGACTGTCCTAATCCAGCTCCTCTACAAGCCGTTTACATTATCAGCCCCCAAAATTTGGGACTTCCTACATATCACATTGTATTTTATCCATCACTGGTAATCAAGGCAGCTTCAAATTTTTTAAGAATTTATTATATAAAAGAACGATTCGTGAGTATTACTTACATAAAAACAACATTATTTATCGAAATCAATTTTATTTTATTTTTTTAAAATAATAAATGCTACCAAGTACCAACGTGTAAAGCAAGCCACACTGTTTCACAAACACGCAGCTTGCACTGTTGCACATGGACCATGTGCAGCAATTTACTTTTAAATTTCTTCGTTAACAATTTTAAATAAAACAAAGAACAGCTAGACCATCATAAACAAGCACAAAATGTGACACAGACTCTGTGGATCGAGCTCACAGAGAAAGAAGTAACTGCATAATTCATACATATTCAACACTGATCTAACTGTATATGAATATTTATTACCATAAAACAGTTCCAAGGCCACTCAGTGCCATCTTCTCTAGTGATTTTAGACCTCGAAATTCCCCAGTAGCTGGAAACCATGACTTCACCCTTTTCTACCTTCTTCTCTGCCACCACGCCGCTATTCTCCTTCTCCTTCTCCGGCATCGCCACCGTCGAAGAAGGCTCTGATGCAGTGCTCATCATCTTCCTCCACCCTCCCAGCAACATCCCAACACCCTGCCCCCTCACTCCAATCATCGCCTCATCAAACGGCGGCCTGATCACCAACGCCACCTTCGCCGCCGAAGACATGTACCGGCTATAATTACCGCCGGTGATCACACGCTTCATCAGAGATCTCGCCACCAAGTGGTTCATTTTCGAAATTCAATTGCAACTTGCACGGCTGATGTTCGGTTTGCAGGGAATTGG